CTGATGGCTGTTTACTGTTCACAGAGGGCTGAGTGATACTAGCAATCACAGCATTGTAAGAGGGGGACAGTTGAACCCGGAGGCCTCCACCCCTGTTTAATGATGGACGATTTCTTTTCACAAAGATGGCCTCCTTTACTCCTCTCTCAAACCATCGTTCCTCTCTGTCCAGGATGTGAACATCTTCATCCCTGAAAGAGTGACCGCTGGCCTGGAGATGAGTGTAGAACTCAGAGTCCTGGCCTGATGATGTTGATCTTCTGTGCTGGTCCATCCTTTTGGCCAGTGGCTGTTTAGTTTCCCCGATGTAAGACTGATCACCCTCCTGACACTGAACAGCATACACAACATTACTCTGTTTGTGCCGGGGGACTGGATCTTTGGGATGAACCAGTCTTTAATGTATTTTGGGGTTTAAAAGCCACTGGGACGTTATGTTTAGAAAATAAACGTCTCAGTTTCTCTGATACTCCCTCAACATATGGAATGACCACTGGTCTGGGTCTGGGTTCCTCCTTTTCACCTGTTGGCTGACTGGAGTCCTGTTTGGGTTTCTTCTCTGCTTTCAGGAAGGCCCAGTTAGGATATCCACATTGCTCTAGAGCCTGTCTTGTGTAGGATTTCTCCTTCTGCCTGGCTCCTGAGCTAGTGGGGACGCCGTCTGCTCTGTGGTACAGAGTCCTGATGACTCCTAACTTGTGCTCCAAAGGGTGATGGGAGTCAAACTGCAAATACTGGTCTGTGTGGGTGGGTTTGCGGTACACCTCAGTTTGCAAATGTCCTCTATCAGAGACTAAGACCTCACAGTCCAAGAAAGCAAACTTGCCATTTTTTACATCTTCTCGTGTGAACTTGATGTATTTATCCACAGAGTTGATGTGGTCAGTAAAATGTTGGACTTCCTGAGATTTAATTTTAACCCAGGTGTCTTCAACATACCTGAACCAATGACTTGGTGGTGTCCCTGAAAAGGACGTCAAGGCTCTCTTTTCTACCTCCTCCATGTACAGGTTGGCAACAATAGGAGAAACTGGAGACCCCATAGCACACCCATGTTTCTGCCTATAATATTGCTCCCCATATGTGAAGTAGGTTGACTGCAGGCAGAGTTTCAAGAGTTGACACAGTTGTTCTGTGGAAAGCGTGGTCCTGCTGCTCAGAGTGGTGTCTGATTTTAATCTTAAACTGACCACCTCTACTGCATCATCAACAGGAATGCACGTAAAGAGTGATGTGACATCAAAAGAGACCATTGTTTCATCAGTCTCCATGATGACATCCCTCACCTTATCCACAAAGTCCATGGTGTTCTGTATGTGGTGTTCTGAGCTGCCAACTAAAGGGATGAGTACAGACGCCAGATATTTGGAAACATTGTAAGTGACAGAGTTAATCATGCTAACGATTGGTCTTAAAGGTACTCCTTGTTTGTGGATTTTAGGTAAACCATACAGACTAGGTGTGGCCTCCCCTGGGTACAGTCTGTGGTACAGAAAACGGTCAATAGCCTTGTCCTGCTCCAAAATTTTCAGGCAATCTATCAATTTCTTCTTGTAACCACTTCCTGGATCTCTTTTCAGAACCTCTGAAATCATCCATCATTAAACAGGGGTGGAGCCTCCAGGTTCAACTGTCCCCCTCTTACAATGCTGTGATTGCTAGTATCACTCAGCCCTCTGTGAACAGTAAACAGCCATCAGGTGCTAATGATCCATTGTTAGGCTGATGGTCCTCCTTGAGCATGTGAGCAGCTGGTTTTGGTTGTCAGCAGCAAAACTGGTTGATCCACTCTAAGAAGGTGCTATTTAAGAGACTGAGCTGAATACAGCACCTCAGAATGAGGAAGTCTCTCGGATGAGAGACGAAACGTTTCTACATTTTTTGTTGTTATGCTTTGTTTTGGGTTTTGTTTTTTTGAATGTCCAGAGGACCAGATTTAACTTTTTTAGATTTTTCTACCTGAATTATTGAGCATGCATCAGGATATCCAGGTCCTGATGGCATAGGGGGTCATATTCTTAAGAACTGTGCCCTGCAGCTTGCTGATATTTTCTGTTTTCTTTTTAATGTCTCTCCAAACCTGTACGGTCCCACAGCTCTGGAAAGACTCTGTCATGGTTCCAATACCAAAAACCAAGACTGCTCAGTCCCTGAACGACTTCAGGCCTGTTGCCCTGACTTCTTTAGTTATGAAGTCATTTGAAAAACTGGTTCGGAAGACCCTCTTGTCAAAAGTTGAAGATCATTTGGACCCACTTCAATTTGCTTATCGTTCACATAGAGGAGTGGAAGATGCAACAGGAACTCTTTTAAATATATCCTGATACATGCTCACTCTGAGAAGGTGCTATTTAAGAGACTGAGCTGAATACAGCACCTCAGAATGAGGAAGTCTCTCGGATGAGAGACAAAACATTTCTCAAGTTCTTTTTTTTATCCGTCCAGAGGACCTGACTTAACTTTGGTACATGCTAAATTACACATCTGATGTGATATGTAATTACCATCAACATTTTTCCCGCACCACAAATCAACAGAAAAGGTTTCACAGTTTTCACAGTATTTAAAACATGAAACAAAACAAAGTAATTTTTTGTTACTGAACTTAAGTGTTTCTGCACAGATGAACTCAATTTATTCACAAAAACGTATGAGTGTCACCTTGAGTTCCTGGAGTTGGTCAGGTTCATAGAGCTGACTGGAAACAGCTTGGGCCAGGAAGGCGTCAAGCTCGTGTCTCTGGAGGATCCTTCCACCAGGCCACTGCATCATATACCTAAGAGGAACAGAAAACAGTATCTTACTATGAGGCAGCTGTGGTTGAGTGGCTAGAGCAGTCGTCCTCCAATGGGACAGTTGGGGGTTCGATTCCACCAGCAGTCACATGCTGAAGTGTCCCTGGGCAAGACACTGAACCCCTCGTTGCCTCTGATGTGTGTCCCATCAGTGTTTGAATGTGATAAAGCTCTGATTAGTCTTTGCACAGATATAGTAGAGTGTTGTGTGAATGAGTAAATGGGGACACATATTGTAGCGCTTTGAATGTCTTAATAAGGTTAAAAAGGCATTATATAACGTGTTTTCTGCCATACACACGTTGCACCGCCCTACAAATCTCATCATTCCAAATATGTCTAATAAAGTGGAAAAATCCATAAAAACTTTGTATTTATTGTGCGTCACCACTGACAACCCGGAAATGTGGGCCGGTGTTGTGCCAAAGTCAATTGGCTGCCAAATGGCAGCTGCGGGAGCGTGCACGTGAGGACTTTAACAAGAATTTAACAAGATTAGCAATTAAAATGATTTGTTTGCTCGAAATTATAGCAAAGATGTGTCTCAGTCTAACTTTTGCTTAATGAATGCACTTTGACGGTCAAATCAGCTGCATTTCAAAAGTATTTGCTGCCTCGGTGTAGGGGTGCAGAAAAAATAAGATTTTTAAAATAATCTAGATTCTTAATCCTGGCAATACTGAATCGATTCTAAAGGCCCATAAATCAATTTTAAAATGCGTTCTAAGTTTTATATTTTTTCTGCTCTTACTCCCGAGCGTACTGCATATCACATTACGTGTCCGCTCGGCCGCCGTAGAATTGAGCCGTGTAGGCCACCGTACAGCAGCTAGTTAGCTAGCTCCCTTTATCTGAATGGAGCCTGCTAGCATGGAGGAGGGAGACAGCACGATTCAAGCCGCTGCTTCGTCTTTAAAAATCATTTCAGATCCTACAATGCTCCGGGGGAGACAGAGCTTCACCAGAACACAGTTGTTTACAAGAAGTGTAAAATAAAATTGCGGGACAGTATTTTGGATAGAAGACAAAATTCACGGAAGATGAAAGTGAAGCAGCGACCAGTGAACTCTGCAACAAACTTCCAGCTGATTCTCCAAAGGCTGTGAAGAGTTCCCTCTCCATCTCCTGCTGCATCACTAAGGATTTATGATCAGACAGCTCAGTGAAGGTGACGGGTTCAGCTTTATTTTAATACGATGGGTCCAATGTACGTTATTCCTTCACGCAGATTTTATTTTTTTGTGATGAAGCAGCTCCACAACTTCACCATGAAACAACGGATGGGAGAAGCTCTGATGCAGCTGCAGATCAAAGGAAACTGTTATTTCTCATATTAAACTAAAACTTATAGACAAGTTGTTCAACAAACTTTATGTAATTTGTCTTTTTAACAGGTTGGAGAGATGAGAAACATCTGGAGCCAGTTCTAAATGAGACAGTTTGATTTATAAATTATAGTTCAGAAGAGATTTTGTGCAAACTTGCACAGGTTTTTAAATTTAGTTAAAGATTTACTAAACAAGAATCAATATGGTTAAGACTGAAGTCTGTATGTTTCATATTAGGTTAAGTTTTGAAAATATAACAAACGTTAGAGCAATATGATTAAAAATAACTGAAGTCTGTACTTTATGTTGAGTTAAAGTTTAATGTACTATGGTAGGATGAAGTCTGTTTACTTTTATATTTATATATTTTGAATTATTTGTCTGTGATGGACTGGAGACCTGTCCATGTGTCCCCCGCCTCTCACACAGTGATGGCTGATATGGGAACCAGTGATACCAGTGACTCGAAAAGGAAGAAGTGGATAAAGATGATGGATGGATGAATTATTTGTTCGTAGATTTTGATTTATTTTATAAAAATCCAGGCAACTAAGCTAACCTAATACTGGTAATTTAAGTTACAGATTTTTTTTTTACTTCTATACTGTTTCCTATTTTAGGTATAAATATAAAATGATGCAAAAAGATTTGATGCAGTAAAGAACCTAAAATTATTGTTTTAAATAAATGTTCTGTTTACATTGTTGTTTAATCTTTTCAGTTTGTCAGTTACATAATTGAAACAAAATTTATGACCATTTCAATAAAAAAATCGTTTCTGAATCGAAAAATCAATTTTGAATCGAATGAAAGACACAGAGATTCCCCCTACTCAGTGCTCCAGGAGCATGCAGACGGAGCAAATCATGAAGGAGGACTCGCTGTGCATTTCTTCGAAGTTTAACAAGATAAGCACCTAAAACAGATGTTTGTTTGCTCTAAATTATAGCAAAGGTGTGTCTCAGTTGAACTTTTACTTCATGTGCTTTGATGCTTAAAGCTGCATTTCACCAGGGCGGCGCAGCAAAATGAACATGATTTGAGGGTTGATGCAAACAGCGAGCAGAAAGAAGGTGGCAGGCTATGGCAAGCCAAATGTGTCATTAATAGCACTTTGACCTAATACATGACACAACGGCATGCCATATAACTCGACTGCCATCTAGCGGTTGAAAATGGTAATGTTCAATTTGTTCAGTCAGAATGAATGAAAATGGTCATATCTCAGCCAAAAATTGGTTTATAAAGATGAGAAAAAATCCATAAATAAGTCGCTTTGGGGTATAAGTTGCAGGGCATGTAAATTATGCAAAAAAACTGCAACTTACAGGCCGAAAAATATGGTAAGTTCAGTCCATTTACCATTTTACTATGGGTTTTACTAGGGGTGTAACGGTACACGTGGGTGTATTGAACCGTTTCGGTTGTTTTTTCACTCAATAAAATTTATTAACGAGAGATTATGGACCGTGGAACTAAAGTTCCTCAGTGTGTTTCAGCACGGTGCTGTTATCTTGCAGCACACGTAGCATTAGCATTCTAGCATGTTGTTGTGGTCTCCTGTTTGGGAGCATTATGTCTTTCTTGTTAAAAGACAAGTGAACAAATCAAAGCTTTGTGTCGACGTTGTTTCACAGAGATTGGATCTGCAGCAGCAACACGTCGAACTTGTTAACGCTCTTGAAACGACATCATCCGAACGTGAACGTGTCTTCTACAGTTGGTTCAAAGAGCGATGACAGCAGCATTTAAACAACCTTTATCAGGTCATTCACATCAGTCCAGAGCAACAACACAAGATGTAGGAGGTTTTAAAGCTCTGGATCTACATTTCTGTTGTTGATGCACCGACTTTAAAGTTATTGAGCCCCGCTACGACATCACGTCAACACTTCAACCAAAAAGTTGTAGCAGCACTTTATGAAAAAGATAAAACTGATCATCAACAAGCCCTGGACCAGATGATGATGATGATGAACAAGAGATTCAACCACCTCATAACAACTGTTCAAGAAGAGGTATTGTTCTTTTATTATTATTATCTAATTAACTTTTTTAAATTTAAAATTATAATCTTATTAACTTTTTTTTTTTTTTTTTACCTCTTTGTGTTTTATTTCCAGTCTGGGACAGAGACAGCAGCTGAGTCTTCCTCCTCTTCAGGGAAGTCCACCAGAGATCACCTCCAGCTAAGAAGTGTGTGATGAGTGAACTGTGAACTTTTCCAGGGACCTGTTCCACCTGTGGGAGCAGCTCCGAGAGGCTGTGACTAATAATGAGGCCAAATGCAGCCACACTGAAAACGATCAAAGCTCTACCTCTTTATTCCTGCTACTGTTGCTAGTGAGAGGTTTCCTCCACCGCTGGAGATGTTCAGAGATATTCACTGCAACTAGATCTGTGATTTTAGGAGAAAATGTGGACAAGTTGGTCTTTTTGACCAAAAACTTAAACTTGACTAGTTAAGATTGTAAACTGTCTGTTGTTGCTTATTGTTCTGGTTCTGACTCTTGTTGTATTTATTAAGATTTTTATTATTCTTAGAATAGTTTATTTATTGTAAAGAGTGTTTATTTAAAATATCATCCAAATGGGTCGCTTTATTTATTTTTATACAAACGTATTGTTTACTTGGCATATTTTCAAAATAAACGTTTTGTAAGTCTTCATTTTGTATTTTTTGTACCGAAAATGAACCGAGGCCTCCTTGAAACTGAACCGAAATGTGATTTTAGCGTACCGTTACACCTCTAGGGTTTACCATTTATAGACACACACAAGTCCACATGGCATCACAGAAATACGGAAGTGATGCTACCTGAGCACGCAGCACATGAGCAGGAGATGCTGCGGGACTTGTGCTGGGTTTAGGAGGGCTGGGCAGTCAGAGCGGAGACATGCCAGGAAGGCTCTGGTTCGCCTGGACCGGTCTTCGCTGGCACGACCCAACCATAGCCGTCGCAGGTTGGGGCAGGTCCACTCTCGAAAACACAGGGCCGGAACCAGCTCTGGAGTCAAGGCTGACTTGGCCTTACCACAGACCCATTCCTTCACAATCACTGGGGGAACTGGATCACAGAGACAAAGATAATTGGTTGGTTACATAAATGATATGCCATGAAATACAGTATGACAATAATCAATATAACCACAGTATTTTAAAAATAAGTATTAAATGTGCAACTAGAACCATTAAAACCTCTAATTGTTGCATAGAGAAGTCAGCAGCATGAGTTTTGTCCCCATGCAGTATCAATACATCAGCATTTATAATACAATGCTACGAATTGCAGCATCCACCCATTTTTTAAACATGTTTTTATTGATTATCTTTCTGTCAACATATCAGAACCAACACGTCTTTAAACAAGTCTCTCTTGTAAATGAATCGTCCAGGTTCAGAGAGACTAACCTGTATAAATAAAGGTCGAATTGAAAAAACAAAAAAAGTACACATATTGGCAAATGGTAACGGTCACAATCATGTACAAATTATAAGCTAAGTTACAGGTATGAGACAGAGGTCAGGACCACACTTAAGTAGTTTTTGAGCAGCATATATCATTTCACAGGGATACGAGACAGACCACGTCTATTAATTGTCCTCAAGGAATCTAGTTCATTCACCCAACCTTATTCTGTACAGCCTCATCCATCCACTTTTTGAAACCACATATTCCCCTTTAGGATTGCACAAAGCTGGGGAATATCTCCAGCAGTCAATGATCAAGGTACACCTTGGACATGACGCCAGTCCTTACTAGTGGACGTGGCTGAATCCTTACTATTTCTACAGTATTTATAATGGTATTAACAGTTTTAGTAGTATGGATCTACTCTGTCATCACAACCCAATCACTGCTGGATAGGGGACTCAAACGATTTAAGGATACAAAAGATACCAAGAGTTTACTGTCATGCACAATTGGAAATGTTGCCCTGAGAAATGAAATTCTTTGTTGTCCACAATAAATGACAAGCAGAGCTAACTCCAAGCTGTTCCAAAATTTTACCATCCATCCAGCCATCCATCCATCCAGCCATCCATCATCCATCCATCATCCATCCAACCAGCCATCATCCATCCATCCAACCAGCCATCATCC